GATTATTGAAAAGTGTTATCAATAAATTTTCCGTTTATAAAAAGATGTAGTTGTTGAGCGATGAAAGAAATAATACCCTTTTTTGTTTTAATTATTTTTATACCTCACTTTATTTTGTTATTACTTGTAACAAAGTTATTATATGGCCCGCGACAACATCAAAGGTTTTAGTTTTGGCACTTGAGGCATTGCAAGTTGGACACCCCTGTGTTAATACATACGCTTTTCGTAAGGTCGTCGCTGTTTATAGTCTATTTACTTCTATATTGTTAGTAATGTAGGGTCGTATAATTATGCATTTATAGTACTACCATCTTAATAAGTGACTTAGTTGATTAATATTCAGATCAGCGAGGTGAAAAATATGAATTACTCCAAATCACATTGGAATGTAAAGTACAGGGTAAAAGATCAGTAGGAAGACGCCAGAAGTCGTGGTTGAAAGACCCGAGGAGATACTGTTACCACTTATCCGCAGAAATCTTTCGTGCAGCAGTTTCCAATGCTATAATTGCTATTTGTATCGCCAACATTCAAAACAAAACGGTGCAATAAGAAGAACGACGTCAAATATAATAGATACAGACGAGTGTCTTTCTGACATTTTGATTAAAGATTGAATTTTAAAATAAATTATTTAACCATGTATTTTCTCAACCTAAATAAAATTAAAACATATTTGTGAAGAACGATGGTGGCGCTCGAATTAAGAAGAAATGCAAATTTGCAAGCCCTTGTTGATTCATATAGATGTCGCTACTAGTACACTGAGGCACTTATTGTTACTATAACGGCGGAATATTAGATTGCCTTTTATTTCAGTTTGAACTTCCACAAGTGTTCCTGACGTGAAGTTGAATAAGTCAAAATACGTCTAGAACAATGATGGAATTCGAATTAAAATGAAATGCAATCTTTTATTTTCACTTTGTCTTTTCTCTACGTAAAGAGTGAAAAAGATATTGTTGTTGTCCATCGCAATGAACTTCTAATTACTAGAAATATAATTAACTATTTAACTAAAACATGTATACACCAAGTATTGCCAAAACACTCTATGAAAAATCGTCAGAATTCTATTTAAAAAATCGTAAGAAATCGTGGGATATTCCTAATTCAATAAAAGATTCTTATTAGGGGTTAAGAATGAGGAAAAATAAGATCTATAAAAAATACGTGTATATTTTTGCAACCAAAATAAAAAACATATTAGAAAAATTTGCAAAAAAAACTTTCCAAAAACTTGACAAAAAAAACCTTTTTTTTTCTACATTTTCCACAAAGTTCACGTTTTGTCCCAGTGTAGTTTGTATTTTTGTTGGTAAACAAATTTGTTTTTTTTTTACTAGGACGAGATCCAACAACACTTTCGTCACTATCTACCATTTTGTAAGTCGCTTAAGCACTGGTTTTAATAATAAAATATATCACAATTCAACACGGCTTCTAAAAGTAACCTTACAAAACTGACAGCCAAACCAAACAAAACAACGACAAGCGTAATACAACGCGCGCGCGATAATATTGTAACTATTATAGTGCAAGAGCGGGACTTCCCCGAATTCGGATTCAATTTAATCAGCGAATTGCGGATGGTAGAAATAAAATTGACACTTTTAGCTCCTTTTTCGTTCAGTTATAACGGTTTTGTTAACAGGATTTTTCTGTCTCTAAGTAATTTCTCTACAAAATTATGTATAAAACTACTTATTAGTGTGGCGCACCCAGGGGGGTTTTTGGAGGCTAACCCCCCCCTTAGGGCATATAAAGTAAAAAATATATAAAGAATAGTAAGAAAATGTAACTTGTTTTGCACACACAATACAAAAAATCCAAAACGCTAATTGAATAATTAAATTGCCATTTTAAATATGTAGAACACAATAATTATTGTATAAATACACAATAATTAATAATATTTTTCATTATATTTAGATATAGATACCTAATATTAAGCTTATGAAAAAGTAGACAGAACGAGTCTGTTGCGAGTAGCATGCGCCTACAGGACTGTATCTGCGGCGGCCTTGTGGACTATCACGGGTTGTGTTCCTCTGCATGTGTTAGCAGTAGAACAGAGACATCTCTATGATAGAAGAGAGCATTTGACAGCAGCTATAAAAAAAGAAAAAAGGGAAAGATCAATGGAAAGATGGCAAGAAGAGTGGAACAACAAGGAAGATGTTGTCCAGTGGACAAAGATGCTGATCCCCAGTCTAAGGGAATGGGCAGATTGTCTGTTTTAGGGCGTATCTTCATACGTTCGGAAAGACAGGTACAGATAAATGCCTATACTGCGAATGTTCCGACATTGTTACTCGCGCAATGCTAGAGTGTAATAGATGTACAGTGGAGAGAACCAGAATGTATAAAGAAATAGGTATGAACCCTGTGACTGTAATAGAGATGATCGTGAAGATGACGGGAAGTACGGAGGGATGGAATAGTGTTCACAATTACATCCGAGCAGTCATTAAAAAGAAAGAAGAAGAAGAAGAGAAACACCATTCGGTACAACGACAGAGATAAGATCTACTTACTATTTTAATGGGAAGTCGCAATTGTAGCTTAAAATAAGTTTATTGACGTTTGAATTTTTGGTCTTTGATCTTGCACTGATAACTTGTTTATACTCCAACAAAAGAAAAAAAGAATAGTGGTAGGTACAGAAGTACATCTAGCCTTCATCGATCTAGAAAAGGCGTATGATTCAGTTCCAAGACTTAAATTGTGGCGAGCTTAACAACAACTCGGCATTAGTCCATACCTTTTAGGAATAATCACAAAAGTATACAAGGATAACACTACTTAGACAGGCCATTCTCGTTCCCACTTTTAGTTCGACCAGTGGTCCAACTTCTGCAGTTGGATCTGAAATCGAACCGTGAGTGGGCTAGTTGGATTAGTTGGACAACTAGTGGTACGAGTCGGAATATCTAGTGGGACGACTTGAAGGTCCCACTTCCGACTGGCGACGAAGTCGGATCACAGGTCGCATCGAAAATTTCCTCAGTGTTACTTATAAGATTTCTATGAAATTCTTTACGCAAAGATCTGTAGTTCGCAAATATTTAATAGAAAATAAACTTTCAGATGCACGAAAATTACCTTTTTGTTAGGGCAAATCACTTTGCTTTCTGTAGATCTATTTCGGACATTCCCATACAGGTACAATTTCCAACACTTCGTCTTGGCTACGGAAGAATTATCAACAAACAACGAAAATTAAATCATAGTTGTATTAAAATTAGACGTAATTGTTTCCTTATATTTTCTTATGGCATCTTATGCAAATTTATTATTTTAATTAGAAAGAAGCCTGAATATTAGTTAGAAATTAAATTTATTTGACGTTGAAGTGAAGTTATTCCTCTAGTTGGATAGCAAGTCGGAGCGTGAGTGGAGACGAATATCTAACTAGTAGTCCTACTAAGTGGGACTGCAAGTCGGAACGTGAATGGCCTGCTTTACCTAAAAATCGGAAATAGGCTATCAGAGCCAATAAAAGTAATTAAAGGACTAAAACAAAGACGCAGTATGTCATCCTTAATGTTTATATATTGGGGCAGCCCTCCAAAATTGGAAAAACCACTACCAGGGAATGGGAATCCCCATAGGAAATGACGTACTGTTCTCCCTGAACTTTGCGGATGACCAAGTCGTCCTAGCTCAAGATGATCTAGAAATTATGTTAAAGCGTCTCTACAGAGAATATGTAAAATGGGGTTTACAAGTCAGCATGAAGAAAACATAATATTTAGTTATCAATTCAGATGCAAGGTTTGAAGTGTTGATAGACGAGGATGTGAAAATCAAATAAGTGGAAAAATTTAAGAATTTAGGTGCACTTATTCCTAAGAATGGCTTGGGAACAACCGAAATTAAACACCGAAATAATCAGGGACGTAAAATTGTAGGATGTCTGAACTCCTTATGGTGGGATCACAACATTTCCAAAAGGAACAAAAATAGAATAGGGCAAAGCATAGTTGAATCAGTTCTTTGTTATGGCTTTAAAGTATGGACAACTAATGCAGACCTGAAGAGAAGATTGTTGGCAGTTGAAATGGATTATTTGAGAAGAAGTGGCAAAACATCAATACAGGAAAGGAAGACAACGGATTGATATATTGAAAGATTGAGATATTGAAGAATTGAAAGATTGACTGATGATTTGGACACCTATTGAGAATGCCTGACGAACGTTGGCCCTAAAAACTTCATAAATAAAAGCCCCCTGGAAAAAGAATAAGAGTTAGACCTCGACTCTAATTGAATCAAGGAATTAGAAGAACGATGGATTCGAGAGGTTTGGAGGATTGGCGGAAGAGAAAGGGAATACGGCGATAGCTGTCTCCAAACCGTATTTTCTTTACAAGTTGGTTTAATGTCAAACGTCAGTAAACTTATGTTAACCTTTATTTGTGGCTTTTTGCTATTAAAATAGTAATTACTTTAAAATACTACAAAAAAATAACTTTAAAACAATAGATAAGATCTAGATAAGAGAAGGGAGTGTTAAATGTCGTCAGCCTTGCAGCTTTCGGGGTACGGTACGTGTGACACTCAACTGCGTACAAGTAATAGAGGGTGATTTTAGTTGGTAGGCAGGATAATAAATACCTGAATCTTTGGCACTGCTGTTTGTAGTACCTTAAACTAAAACCCAAATTTTAGGGACTCAAAATGTATGTAGCATAAAAAAATTTTAAACCTCCTCCCCTAATACAAATTCTGGGTGCACCACTGATTCCTTTAAAGTGAGTAAAAATCGTGTAAATTCCCATATAATTCGTGAAATCGTAAGACATTTACCAAATTCGTGTAATCTCACGATTAATCGTGAGTTTTGGCAACACAGATTACACCATGTACTCTAACCTAATAAATGTCACTAATGCCCTAAGTGGTTAATGTTACTACAACTATTTCGGAAATTTAAAAAAAAAACAGAAAACACGTCATGTAAATTATTATTTAACAAATCTCTTCTTTTACAGGTTTTTGATAAATGTTATATCGGCGCGACGCCGGAATTGGACGAGGAACGAGTATTTTGCGGTCAGATGTCGGCAATTTATCTCTTCAGCGAGGCCTTAACAACGCATCAGATATGCGCCATGCATAGGTTAGGACCTGGATATAAAGTAAGTCGAACATTAATTCGAAGCAACAGCGTAGTAGATAAACTTTGATTTATGAAATATTGGGAACACGATGCGGAGTTACAGCAGATATTTTGATAGTGCGGACAATTATTTTTCGTGTATCGTGAACAAGATATTGTATATTGTATTTTTTTTTAATTTTACGAGGATAAACTAGAGCTATGACGTGGATAAAGAAAATATTTGAGTTAGCATTGCAACAAACAATAACTTTTATTCTGTTTGTATACAGTTTCACGTCAAAAAGTGAAATTAGAGTTGTGCAATAATATGTGAAAAATATATGATCATCATCATCGACTTAGCTCTAGTTGAGTATTGGCCACGTTTATATTTTCCACATCTGTTGTCGGTCTTGTGCAGGTCAATCTCCAGATCTCCAATGATTGTATTCCCATTTTGCATAGATTGGTTGTTATTCTGTGTGCATTCTTTCATCTTGATCCTGAGCGATTAACTGACCCTTTACCATTAGCTCTTTCCCAAAATGTTGTATTGAGTAGTCTTTCATCACTTGATTTTAGTAGATATCTTGCCATCTGTTTAAATTTGCCTTGATGTAGCGTACTGTGTTTTTATCTCCATAAAGAGATATGGATTGCAATCTTCAAAAGAGGTAAATTTTCCGTTGAAGATGAAGAACCTGTGCGAAGGCTAGTTTGTATGTCTACTACCTTAAATAAGTGGATCTAAGGGTAAAAAAGATATATGAAACAGGCAGTGACCATTACGTACTTCGGATCTAGGAAACTAGTGGGAACAATTTGTACAAATTTGGAGAAAAATGGAAGAATATTAAAAAGCATTATTTTACAAAACACTGAAAAATATAAGAAACAACAGCAAAACAAAATTGATAAGAATACAATAAGATAAAATTAAAATACATAATGATCAAGGAAAGAATAACATTAACCGACAATAAAAACATACTAGACAGATGTAGGAAACATTTTGAGCAATTGTTAAATGTAGATCGAAACAAAAAATAGCTGAAAAAGAAAGCGAAGGAATATTGAGTTACAAGGAAAATTATGGTATTAACAAAGACGATATAAAGAAAAAAGGCATTATGTAAAAGTATCTTGCCTATAGAATTTTTGGATGAAATAAATAAATATAAAAAGAGGAGAGAGACAAGGCCTTTACTCGTTACCTTGTTTTCAGAAGAAATATTTAAGGAAGCCCTAATGGATACAACAGATTGTATTACTGTTAATGGTGTAACCGTAAATAATGTTAGACATGCCGACAATACCGTAGTGCTGGTTAATTGCGGAGAAGACTTTCAAAATCTTAAACAAAATAAAACAAATATGTGATTAGTATGGATTAAAATTCAGCGTCAGGATAAATAAATAAATATAATGAAAGTAAGTAAACAAAACTATATACAGAATGACGGTATAAAAATCGAAGATGCCGTACTGGACACAGTAGAGAAATTCGTGTATCTGAGCAGCAATATCAATATCAGCTGGAGTCCAACCGTATAAATTAAAAGCTGTAGAGAACAAGCCTGAGCCACTTTTGTAAAAATAAGGAATGTCCTTTACAGCCACGATCTTAGCATTGAACGTTGCGTTCAAATGACACTGCTATATTTTTCCAGTGCTACTATATGGAGTGAAAGCATGGACCCCAAGTGAGGCGATGCTTAAACGCTTAGAAGCCTTTGGGATGTGGTTGTATAGACCACGATTACGAATAAGCTGGGTCGACAGACTTAGAAATGAGGATGTCCTTAGACGCCTGAACCAAACAACACAACTGGTCAATATAATAAAGATACGCAAGTTAGAATACTTCGTTCACATTATGAGACACCCTGAAGAAGACACCCTTTCATTAAGTGAAAGAAGGAGGGATTGTTAGAAGAAGAACATCATGGCTGAAGAATCTAAGACAATGATACGTAAAATCGACTATATCATTATTTAGAGCTGCTGTCAATAAAGTTACGAAGTAAATATAGTAGCAAACATGACATCCAACGATGGATCACGGTCGTGGAACTAGAAGTTTATAATTTTTTATGGAAGAGAAAGCTAGTACGTAAATGATGGGTAAATGGAATAATTGTATGAATACACAAGAAGGAAAAGACAAGAGACGGTGAAAATTATAGACGAGTGATCACTAGTGTATGTGGTAGTCAATGTTTTGATGTTGACTTGGAAACATTTTCGACTTAAATAAAAGAGAATCTATACAAAATAGACTAAAAAGGAGAGAAGTTACGAAAGCTGAACGCAGCGACAAATAGTATATACAGAAAAACGAAAAATACATGCTTTAAGAACAAATTAAAAAACAAAGGGAGTAAGGCAAGAAAGAATTTTAATCCCAACCCTATATGAATGGATAATATAAAGGCAAGTAAAGACAAAATGGGAGGGTAAAACCAATAAGGAAAAATAGAAAAGTATGTTCCGCTACATCTTGAAACAGTTACTTTACAAAAATACTTCAAAGTGGGGACCAATTATGAGAGAAGGCCAAACAAATAGCACAGAACAAAAAAATGATGGATAGAAAATTTATCAAAAGTAAGATGTACCAAGACAAATAACGATATAACTGGAACGAAGGCTGTTTTAGCAGTTCAAGCACACTGCGATTTGAAATGAGCCTATCACTTACTTTTCTACACTGCTTACGCGAGACTATTTTTACTCAGTGGCGCAGCCGACGGCTAGATTAATGATAACAAATGCATTACTCTCCGTTCAAATTAGTTTTGACACGAACTAACTGACCGCACGTTCATGAGATTTGACGTCACGAAGGCAAAATAAACACGGTAAAAATGGTAAAGATAACGGTAAAAATAAACGACAATGATGAGTAACACGTTTCACTATTAGATTTTAGTATTCTTTAGCAATTTTCTTCAAAGTTGGAACACGTTTTTCTCGATTATTACTGGACACAGAAAGGTGAAAAAAAAATCAACGATTACAGAAAAAAACTCTTTCAAGTGATGGGCGTAAAAAGTTTGGTTATAATAGAACGTTAAACAGTATAATCCAATTTTTCAACAGAAGTTTCAAAAAAATAAAAAAAGTAAAACCATCATTTTAAAAGCAACATAATTTCGAATATTGTGTCCAAATTTCGAGACATTTTGTCGGTAAATAACAGTCCCTAGGTTTTGGTGCACCGATAAAACAGCCTTGGATACTCACATGTATGAGTGTATAACAAGGCTAGAAACGTTGCTGCGTTAAAACAAATATGGAAACTTCTTAAGGCGTGGTGTAATATTAATTGAAAATTAGATACATTTGTACGGTCAAGAAACAAAGCGGCAATTATAGGAATATAGACAATCTTGTCTTTAAGGTTAAGAAATTTCGTTTTAAAAATCTGCCGAAAAAGTTATTCCTTCAGTTTTTTGGGATTGCCAAGGATATTCGACGTTACTGACCACTCTATTATGGTACTGAGACGCGGGAAGTTGTCCAAAGGTATTTTGTTTATGCAGGGTAATACCTCTGCACTCAAACTTCATATTGACATGCCAACAATTTGTGATTTAGAACTCGAATTGTAATATCCCCCTTATTCACCAGATCTGGCTTTGTCCAACTATTTGTGTCTTTTTCTTAGTATAAAAAATCGTAAATTTTCCTCCAACGAACACATGATATATCAATGACTAATACGAGCCCTGACAAGTACATAATGGGACAAACTAAAATAAGGGCATAATTCAAATATTTGCAAGTTTTGCAAATACAATGTAAAACTATGTATTGAATTAATTACTAATAATGTAGGTGCAATCAGCAACAAAAAACAAAATATAATTACTCTAACAGAACTAATTAAGAATAAAAAAGGTTTGTTTTGTTGACATTTTAGTTTGTTAACAACTAAATATTGAGTCATAGATCGAATATTTATCTTTAAACCGGAGTATCATCACCCTTAGACTTTATGAGCGCTCTAATTCGGTTGAGCATTGAGTCGACCAAAGATCTGCATTCATTCAAAATCTGCTCTATTTTGGCTTTAAGTTTGTGTAATGTCCGTTGTAGGTTGTTCCTTAGTGTCTGTTTCATTTTATGCCATACAGTTTTCATCATTTAACCCGGATCTATCCACTGCTGTATATAGGTCTCCCTCAGTCTTTTCCATGTATTTCTGTTTTGTGCTGTTTGCATCCAAATTTTGTCGATCCGTTTTATGTCATCAGACCATCTTGTTGGTGGACGACCTCTACTTCGATGTGCTTCTTGTCTCGGTCTCCACTGTATTACTCGCTGTGTCATTCTGTTATCCGACATTCTAGCTATGTGCCCCGCCCAGTTCCACTTAAGGGTCATAATTCTTTCTATGGCATCTGTCACTCCTGTTCTCCGTCTTATTTCCTTGTTTGTGATCCGATCCCTACGAGAAATGCCTAACATCGATCGTTTCATGGCTCTTTGGGTAACACAAATTTTGTTTCTTACTTTCTTGGTTAGTGTTAATGTCTCTGCACCATACGTAAGTACTGGCAACACGCACTGATTAAAGACTTTTAACTGATTAGACTGATTAAAGTTAATAATCTGAAGCAATAGAGAGATAATTAGCAATAAACCTACCTTACACATTGTGGCCACCAGTGGTACATGGCGTCCTTGAGCAGCAAACTTACGTCATAGCCGTCGTGTACCACAGATGGTATATATTTAAAAACAACAAAAAACAATAATCTCCTATTCCTATCAGAAACTAGTTTTGGTCCACCAGGGCTTTAAATTTTTTATCTAAGATGCCTCCTGTCTTTTCATAATGCTTAATTATATTCCACACTCTAGTTTTATGAATATTAAGTTCATTATTGTTAGAATGTCTGGATGGAATGTTTTCACAGCCTACTTGTCTTACCTTGGTTGGTTTTTAGCAGTTACTTCATGCTGTAGCATTATTTAGTTGTCACTAATTTTTGCATATTTTGATGATCCTTATGACATTAATAGGTTATA